GAGGAAATAAAAACCGCCCTTAAAGAAAAGGGCTTCGCCGCCAAGAATGTTATTAACATTCTGAATAAAGATAAAAAGCCACAACCCCTCTTCAAGGTCGAGCTCGAGCCTGAAAGCAGATCGCTGAAGAAGAACGAAGTCCACCCAATCTACAACCTGCAATATCTTTTGCATCGGAAAATCACTGTTGAAGAGCCACATAAACGTAACGGTCCAGTGCAATGCACCAATTGTCAAGAGTATGGACACACAAGGTCTTACTGCACACTTCGGGCTGTCTGTGTAGTCTGCGGGGACGCCCACAAGTCCGCTTGCTGCACTACAAACAAGGACAGTACCGTGAAGAAATGTGGAAACTGCGGAGGCAGCCATACGGCAAACTATAGAGGATGTATTGTGTATAAGGAGTTAAAGAGTCGCATGCGTCAAGCGACCGCAACGCGCAACCAAAATCCACAGAATGCGTACGTTTCGTCAAAAACCACGCCAGACGTCTTCTTCGCCAAAGCTGCGAGATCCTCATTCGGTCCACTAAACACCACCAACGGCTTCTCCTATGCCGATGCTCTACGATCTGGAAGGGAAATTCCAATTCAGCCTAACTCTCAAAGCGCTCAACAGGCCCCAGAACAGCCACACAGCAAAACGGAAACTATGATGCTTACCCTCCAACAAAGTATGATGGAGCTTATGTCATTCATGAAAACGACCATGCAAACGCTTGTTCAAAACCAGAACATGGTGATACAGCTGCTCGTAGCACAACAGTCCAAATAATCTATGCAGGCGCTACGAATATCAATGTGGAACGCCAATGGTGTCTCACGACATAAACTAGAATTGTCACAATTCTTGACCGAAAACCATATTGACGTTATGCTACTGGTGGAAACGCATCTTACAAGCAAATACAACTTTCATATAAGAGGCTACACAATCTACCGCACAGATCATCCAGATGGGAAAGCCCACGGCGGAACTGGAGTTCTAATCAGAGAACGAATTAAACACCATTTTCACAAAAGGTTTGCAACAAACTTCTTGCAGGCCACATCGATACAAATTCAGTCAAGCAACGGAATCCTTTCAATTGCTGCCGTTTACTGCCCTCCTCGCTTCTCAATCTCGGAAGGACAATTTATGGACTTCTACAATTCACTTGGGGATCGATTTATAGCCGCAGGAGACTACAACGCCAAACATACGCACTGGGGATCACGTCTAGTGACTCCCAAAGGAAGACAATTGTACAATGCAATTATAAATGTGAAAAATAAACTGGACTACGTTTCCCCTGGAAGTCCCACATACTGGCCAACAGACTCACGAAAGCTCCCAGACCTTATTGATTTTGCAGTGACAAAAAACATACCTCGCAATCTAATAAGTGCCAAAGCCGTCTCGGACTTATCATCAGACCACTCGCCTATGCTTCTAACGCTTCTTCAAAGCCCAGAAATAACCGAACACCCCTTCAGTCTGACGACGACAAAAACAAACTGGCTAAAATACAAAAAGTACGTGAGTGCCCACATAGAACTCGCCCCGGATTTTAACATGGAATCGGACATCGACTACACTACGAGCGCCCTGGAAGAAGTACTCGTTGCGGCAGCTAAAATCTCTACTCCTTATAGGAAAGAAGTAGACCGAAACAAACACTTCAAATCTAATCAGCAAATCGAACAGCTCGTGCGAGAAAAGAGGCGCACGCGTCGTGATTGGCAAAACAGCAGATCACCAGCTTCAAAACAACGCCTTAAGGAAGCAACCCGATCACTCGACCAGGCTCTTCACCAACAGGAAGAAAATGCACAGCTGAGGTACATCCAGAATCTCTCGCCAACAAGCACAAAGTACCCCCTGTGGAGGGCCCACCCAAATCTTAGTGCCCCAATTGAAACGACCACCCCGATAAGAAACTCTTCGGGATGCTGGGCTCGCAGCAACGAAGACCGAGCTGACACATTCGCCACACATCTCCAAAGTGTCTTCCAGCCAAACCCAGCCTCAAATTCATTCCTCCTGCCAGTAATTCAGCCAGAGTCCTCCCCTCAGCCAGCCGCACCTCCATTCCGGCCGAACGAAATCGAAAAAGTCATAAGAGGGCTAAAACCAAAAAAGGCTCCCGGTGGTGACCTATTGACCCCAAAGATGCTGATCGAACTTCCAAAATGCGCTATAGAGGTCGTCTGCAAACTATTTAATGGAATCATTAATCTTGGCTATTTCCCAAAAAAGTGGAAGAAATCCATTATTATAATGATACCGAAGCCTGGAAAAGACCACACAATTCCGTCATCATACAGACCAATAAGCCTTCTATCTTGTTTGTCTAAACTGTTTGAAAAATGCTTGTTAACTCGCATAATACCACATCTAGAAGCTTGCAATATAATCCCGGCACACCAATTTGGCTTTCGAAGAAACCATGGAACCATCGAACAAGTGAACAGATTAACATCCGAAATACGCTCAGCCTTCGAACAACGAGAATACTGCAGCGCTATTTTCCTCGACGTATCTCAAGCTTTTGACCGAGTTTGGCTCATCGGACTCATGCACAAAATTAAAACGTATTTGCCAACATACACCCACAAGCTACTGGAATCATACCTCTTCAATAGGGTATTCTCAGTGAGATGCAACGCAGCTACTTCGGGCGACTACACCATCGAAGCTGGAGTTCCACAGGGAAGCGCACTCGGGCCGTGTCTATATGTTTTGTATACTGCGGATATTCCTACGAGCGCACAACTAACAACGTCAACGTTCGCCGATGATACCGCTATTCTTAGTCGCTCCAGATGCCCAACGCAGGCAACAACCCAACTGGCTAATCATCTCACAATAGTGGAAAGGTGGCTGTCCGACTGGCGCATTAAAATAAACGAACAAAAGTGTAAACATATAACGTTTACTCTTAATAGACAAACATGCCCTCCGCTTTTACTAAACGGTATGCAGATCCCTCAAGCTAACGACGTAACGTACCTTGGCGTTCACCTTGATAGACGACTTACCTGGCGTAAGCACATCGAATGCAAAAAGATGCATCTAAAACTGAAAGCCAGCAGCCTCCACTGGATCATAAACTCACGATCGCCACTGTGCCTGGACTACAAGTTACTACTGTACAATTCAGTCCTAAAGCCAATCTGGACGTATGGCTCCCAGCTGTGGGGGAACGCGAGCAGCAGCAACATAGACATCATACAGCGCGTACAATCAAAAATCCTGAGAACTATCACAGGGGCACCTTGGTATGTTCGCAACGAAAACATCCACCGGGATCTGGGCATCCTCGCAGTGAAAGACGAAATCCAGAAGCAAAAAGAGTCATACAAAGAAAAACTGTCTTCGCACCCAAATTTTCTCGCTCGGGGATTGACTCGGGTTTCTAGCGTATCCCGCCTTAGACGCAACGACCTCCCAACCCAGCAATCGATTTTTAGGGCCGTCTAACTCCGTATCAGTCAATATGACTGTTAGTTAAGTTAAAAATATAAGATTTGATACACCTCTTGTTAGTCTCGCAAAGAGAAGATTCAAGAAATAAAAGCAACGTTAAAAAAAAAAAAAAAAAGTATTATGTTTGTAAATAATTTACAGTAGAAATATTAGCCTGATCTGAGCAATAGAAATGATTTTATGACTGCTCTCTCATGAAATCGCCATGCAATCGTTTTTATGGAAGCTATAGGATTTTTTTTATCTATTTTTAGATTTTTGGTTAAAGTTTCATAGCGATAGCACATCTATAAGTATTTATGGCCGCGGTTCCATACAAGTTCAACCACTGTGCCTTGCAGAGGGTATTATAATTTTGTCCAAAAGTGGGCAAAGACGTGAAGGAGACATCTCCGACCCTATAAAGTATATATATTCTTGATCAGGATCACCTCCTGAGTTGATCATGTCCGTCTGTCCGTCTGTCTGTTTCTACGCAAACTAGACTCTCAGTTTTAAGGATACCGACTGTAAACTTGCACACACCCTTCTACTTTTGCACGCAGTATATAAGTCGGAACGGCCCGGATCGGCCGACTATATCCTATAGCTGCCATATAACTAATTGATCGGAAATGGTGTTGGAAATTGATCAATGGAAATTGATAACTTTGGTGTTTTTAGAGTTACAGAGTTCAGATTTTACATAAGAGCTATTATTTGTATAAAATAATACAACTTACCAAAATTCATGAGGATCGACTGATAATATTTTATAGCTGCAATATAACTGAACGATCGAAATGACCCAACTGTTTTTGAAGATAGAAAGCTGGAACTTAGTAGAGATTATATTTTTGGTCAGTTTTGGTCAAATTGGTTTTATTATGATATTTCCTTTGCACGCAGTATATAAGTCGGAACGACCGGGATCGGCCGACTATATCCTATAGCTGCCATATAACTGATTGATCGGAAATAGTATAACTTTGGTGTTTTTAGAGTTAGAGAGTTCAAATTTGACGGGAGCTATATTTGGCAACACATTACGACATGATAAATTTCATAAGGATCGGCCGACTATGTCCTATAGCTGCCATATAACTGAACGATCGGAAATGACCCAACATTCGTGTTTTTGAAGATAGAAAGCTGAAACTTAAAGCTGAAAGCAGAAAGTACACATTCTATTTTTGACACATTCATTCTATCAGTTGATCCAACCTACCAAATTTCATTAGGATCGGCCGACTATATCCTATAGCTGCCATATATCTGACCGATCGGAAATGGTACTTGGTAGAAATATCAACTTTCGTATTTTTGAAGATAGAAGCTTGGGACTTTTTTTTTTTTAGATTTTTTATTGTAATTAATTGGTTTTATTATGACGTAATCATAAGGATCGGCCAACTATATCCGATTTTGGCGATATATATCCTTTTTGCAAGGGTAAATCAACTTCGGCTCCGCCCGAAGTAAGCTTTCCTCTCTTGTTTTTAAGTTATTCTTGTCATACGTGTATCTAATCAAAAAATATTTTTTTGCAGAAACAATTGGTCTACTTTTACTCCAAAAACAAATGTACTGTGGATATCATATTTAATTTTGAAATTACAAGGGAAGGTTAAGTATGAAAGTGAACACACTAGAACGCACAAAATATATTTGCGGAAGCTTAAGGATTTGCATAACATTATATTTTCGTTCAAAAGTGCTGCTGATTGTTTAAGATCTTTGTTCAATTTATCTCAATAAAAATACCGCAAAATGTCGGTGCCATGTGTTTAAAATTTTATTAACGATGGAATTTGATATTAGTTTAAATAAAATATAAAAAATATAATTATTTTATATCCGGTACGTGTAAAGTACAATAAGATTTGTGGGAATGTATGTAACGTAGCGAGAAATATGTATATACTTGGTCAGCATCAACATCCGAGGAGAAGGAATTTCTTGCAGGGGTAGCGCGGCTGGGCAGCGAAAGATCAAAGAGTGGGGGACGACGCGAGCGTCGCGCTCGACTAAAAATCCGCCGGAGCCCCGCATGGCAACATGATAAGCGCGTGACCAGGAGAGGTGAGGGGCCCGGTAGCGTTGAGTTGGAGGACCGCCTTTGATGAGTCCGACAGCCCATACAAAGTAAAGTGCGAGAATACAAGCGATATAACTGAAAAAACATATAACATATAATAACATATGATTAACACATACAACATATAATTGTCCGTGTGAAAAACAATCTTAATCCAAATCCAAACCACAAAACTTCAGAGATTGACCTTGAGCCTTATTTATGGTCATTGCGAACGCCAAACGAATGGGAAACTGCAATCTCTTGAACTGGAACGGTATATCAGTCGGGAACATAGGAATCCTAGGAATGAGGACATCTTTACCTTTAAAAGGACCACTTATGATCGTTGCTTCTACAACGTTGTTCATCAATTTCTTGACTGCGAGTCGCGTACCGTTTCAGAGTTTCGGCTGATTCATATTCCGGCATGATAATCGGCACACCTATTTTTAATTTCAATATGTGTGGTGGCATTCCAGGATCAAGTGAGTTTAGAAACTCCGTAGGGTAATTAACTGCTTCCTCTGCATTCACAACGGTGTCTATCGACTTATATGTAATTTCGTCAGTTTCTATGCTGGATTGGATTACATGATTGAGCTGGTAGACATCTTTGTTCTTGGCAGCGAGAATCGCTCGTCCACTGAGCCAATCGTGATTCCTATAATTTATTCGGATATCGGGGAACACTTTTTGGATAAGTCCACCCACCAGGTAACAATGTCGCAGCGATTCCAGATGAAGCAAGAGCTAAAGCTATGTCCTTGTTAGCTTGAACCGTAGCCAGGATCAATATAATGAGGAATGTTTTCCCCGTTCCTCCTGGAGCATCCAAAAAGAAAATGCCCCCAGCCCCACTATTTATCTTTTGCATGACATGATAATAAACTATTCTTTGTTCATGGTTTAATTTCGTAATGTTGGATTGGACATATGACTGGAGATCATGACTGTTGTAATTCTGCTCACGGCGAAATCCACATTAAATGCTGCAGTCGTAGTTCGGGCAGGTGCTGACATTTCCAATTGACTTAGCACTTTATTTGCAATAGCTATCTATCTATACTTGTCTTCAATCCTTGTCAAAGTTTCATTGTAAATTCCTTCTGTCCATGGTCATGTCAGAATTTTCTAGATGTACTCTGTGCAAAATATCCTCAGCCATATGCGAACGATATCTTTCCCATAATTCGGTTGGAGATGAAGGGAAGCAAGCAGTCAATATGATTGCAAACAATGAGCGAATTTGGTGCGGATGTGCCGTGTGGCACGCATCATGAATGCAGATATCCCACTGTTGGTCGTTCTCCAACAAATTTAAGGCTTGGCACGCACTGCGGAAGGTGGCATGTGTGATGCCGTTGAGATTTTTCAAATAATGGAAAGACCTGGGACCGGCCACATTCACCAACAGCATGCGAAGGAAGAAACATTCATTTTGATTAGGATGCACTGTATAGAGTCTACCAATTGTATTCTCTTTGAAGACGCCAGGTTGTCCTTCGACGGGCTCGCCTCGTTTGCGTCGCGCGAACACTTTTTTAGTGGCATTCCACGTGTAATAAGAGGGCACTTCTGAATACATCAAGGTTCTGGCAAAAGCATCTTCCTGGCATAAGGAGAAAAAGGCAGTCAGAGTTGTCGCAGGCGCATTCGGGACTCTTTCTTGTACATTTCGTTCGGTGAAATAGACACGTTGACCATTCTCCAAATGGACTGCCAAGTGAACTACAGCTGGATAGCGTTCATGAATGGGGAACGAAAATATTCGCCATGCAGCCTCGTTGCTACTTATGTATCTTCCAGCCTGGTATTGAGAGATTTCATCGACAACTCGTACTGCATTGCTGTCACCATTTTCTGCCTGAACACCAAAAACTGCCATATCGCTGCCTTTATTCACGTACTTACAGATATATTTAATCGATTTCACGGAATTGCAATATTCTACGGTGATGTGCGCTTTGTATGATTTTGACAATAGGGGTGAGTATGGAACCACCCAACGATTGTCTACCTCAATATCACCAATTCTCATTTTTAAAGTTTCCGAAGTCCCGCCATCTTCAGACATATCTTATACAAAGGATATCTTTCGTTTCCTGATACGGTGTTGGCAGCAAATGCTCGAGGATATCGCTTGGAACACTTCCCGTCTACCATGCATGATGAACTTGGGTTGAGGGTACCACATGGGCCATGGGTCATGTTCTTGAAGACAACTGCATGCGAATCCGTATCAACCTCGGCCCGTGGAATCTCAGCGCATATCACATCGTCGACTTCGTCTGGAGTAATTTTATCATACAGCCAGATTAGTATGTGCGCATGCGGCAATCCTCTCTTCTGCCATTCTACTGAATACATCCAGAACCGCACAACTCCAAAAACTCCATCTTTCACAATGAAATCCATCAGTGTCTTGAGCTTTTGTCTGAAAACACGGGCTGTGATGTCATGCCTATCCCTAGACGATTGTCCAGGATATAACAGCTGCACTATCTCGTCCCAAGCTGGATTGCATGTGAAGTTGATAAATAAGTCTGGACGGCCGTAGCAACGAACATAGGCCATGGCATCTTGAGCATATTCCTGCATGTGGCGTGGACTATCTATGTATGAGGATGGCAAAATCGTGAGCTTTTTACGTTGGTTGTATTACGGTCATTCATCACAGCATCTCGCAAATGGATATATTCCTCGGACCGAAGTTTCGTCTGATTCAATCGGAGGAACAGCAAACGTTCTGTTTCAATTTTTGCATACATATCGACAATGTATTGATGAAACAACTGACGACATTTCAATATATGATTGTCATCGGTCCTCCGAACCATTAATCGGTATGAGTAAAAGTTCATCGCGCTGCACTTTTTATTCGTTTCTACACCATTGACTGGATCTACCATCCTCACATTGAAATTATATCCATCGGCACCATCCCAGAAGATGAGTGGATACTGCAAAGCATTGTAACAACGTTGAGTTTCTGCGACGTTTACCAATCGATCGTTTCGTCGATGGAGAACATATCTCGATATCTCGAGGTTGGAACTAATCCCCGACTATGACAATTGCCACTTCGTCTACAGTTGGAGCATTATATCTCCTGATATGTTCTCCAGCAGGCGTTTCGTCTGCATGAATGACAATTTTATGGGTGTCCAAACCCATCATATCGATTGCTGTTTTGAACAAACGCACCAAATGGTTCCATTCGTGAAAAAGCTTCTGCAGCTGGTATTGATTCCATAACGTGCATCGACTTCAGCTCCATCATCACCAATGTACATTTGAAGAAATTTGTGTTCGCTGTCTGAGGCTCTGGTGGTGCTTCAAGTTGAGGCAATTTCACTTTCCCGGAAGCGCAACACAATCCTTTTGGTTCGTTGTTGAATTTGAGAGCCCGACAGTGTGTGCAGACCTTATGCATCCGGCCAATAACGACATTGCGATTCGAGCTATAATCAACAGTTGGATTATATCGGAATGCAAGACGATTGTATTGCAGGTTTCGATTTGTTGCAAGCTGTAAACGCGCTTCAGCTACCCTTGCCCTGTCGCGTTCATTATTTTGAGACCGAATCAAATCGATTGCTGCAGAACGCGACTGCCTAACTCTCAATCGTGTTCGCTCAAGCCTAGCTGCTCGCGTTTCTGCTGATTCGGCGTTGTGCATCCGTTGTGCATCCGCATTGCTCAGTCTCTCGGATGGAGGCCCGCTCTTCGTCAGTCATATTCGAAATGTTACGTCTTTTTACTTCTGTATTGCGAGTATGATGACCCAAATTCGACTTCTTGGGTGGCGTGACTTCGTTTCTAACTGACATTTTGACATTTGACTTTTTCTTTTTAGCTGGCTGGCTAAGAAAGAAAAGTAGGGGCACGGGGAAACGCGAAAAAAACTGATATATTCGCAAACGCAGATAAGCTATCAACATCAAAAGTAGACAATAACCAAGCTGGAACCTCAACGCATGTTGTGTCAAAATTTGGGCTTAAACCGTTCAGAACTTTTCAAGTCTATAGAGGAAGTAGATACGAACAGAGCTTTGAAGTGCTACGAACAGAAACTTTGAGAAAATGCTGAAATTGATTCCAAATAGACAAAATCGAAAAAAGTTTTGCATATTTTCAAAACCAGAAAATTGTGTAGTACCATATGGGCATTTCCTGGGGTCGCGAACGTACGCAATTAGTGCCAAAAAATTAAAGAAAAAAACACATTCTGGTACTTTGTTTTTGCTTTCCGATAGCATTTGGTGAGTTTTTTTCTTAGTGTAAATTATGGTTCTAATGGATTTTTCTGTTTCATAATATTGGCAAAAAACATGAGGTCGCGAACGTACGCGAAATGGAAGTCGGTTTTGGCTTGCTCGAGCAAAATAAAAAAATCTGCGAATTGGAATGGAATATTTTAATGCAATAACTTTTCTTTTAAAATAGAGGCATGTAGCTTTCTATCGAGTCTATTCCCAATTAAATATCTGCATTAATTTTTTTTAAATTAAATTAAGTACGGGTCGCAAAAGTACAATTTTTCCCATATATAAAATTTTTTTTTTTTTTACCTCTTTAACACATGAAGTTTTATCCACCTGCTTTCACTTGATGCGAAGCAATTAAAATAAAATTATGTTTTGGGTCGCGAACGTACGATTAGAACATAGATAAGAATCAAAGTACAAATTAAGAGGTAATTTAACATTTTTTCGCCCTCTTTGAATTTTTCTCGTCTTATTAGATTGTCATTAAGAGATTTAGTACAAGAAGAGCAAACACATCATATGTTTTCCTTGAGAATAAATAAACATAAAGATGTCTTTTAAAATAAAAAAAGGTAAAAATTACATTTTTTGACTTTTCCGGTTTTTTTTTTTTTTTTTTTAAAGCTGAAATATGCTATGAATCCAATAGTTTATGAAAATTTGGATATTTATTTATGAAAATACAAAAAAAGAATCGAGGAATATGGACATTTATTTTTTCGGTCCTGGTTGACCATCTGCCGGAATAGCCGATATGTTAGCTTTGAGAGCTTCCATCTATCTAGGTATATATGCATTGGTATTATTTTACCGATATTTAAATGATAGTCAAACAATTAAATATCAGTAAAATAATACAAAATTAGGAAACAAAATTTGTATAAATTTGAACAGTTGAAAATTTGCCTAATCTGACGATAGAATAGCCAAATCGGCCACTGTGCAGCGCCAATATCAGGTGGTGAACCTAATTACTTCAAGGTCAGCAACTCTACTGAAACTTCGCCAATTTAAATCATCAGTGGTCGTATCTGGCATAGGCGATGATTGGAAAAAATGGATAAAAACGAATGGACTTTCGGTAAGCCTCCGTCTACAGTCACAGATGTCAGGCTACACAGATCATGAAAGCTCAATCGTGACCCTAAAGCTCACAAGCATTCAGCCCAGTGTCAGCTTAGATGTGGCCGGTTGGAACGTTCCAAAGGATTTAAAGCTTGCAGATATTAGGTTCTATCTACCCCAAAGGATAGATGTGTTGATAGAGCGTATTTTATGAACTGCTTGGCGTTGAAATAATCCACCTGGGCCCTGGCGTGCTGGTGTTACAGATAAAACACCTCGACTGGATTGTTTGCGGCAGCGGTGATCGGCTCTGGTGTTCCCTTGAACTTCACTCGTCGGAGGTGGAGAATCTGCCGCCAAGCTTGTCAGATAATGAGGTGGTTCTACTTCCTATTCGAAAAGATATTGAAAATATTGCGAATGCGGTGCGAATTTTAAGGATGTCGGGTAACAGAAGTATCACGTATGACGTCACATCGCATTGCTGCACTTTTGATCCGCGCCTTCACTCCCTCAACCGGTTAAGTCGAACGGCCACCTGCAGTTGTTGTCTTGTTCGCAACCATCTCTCGTTCGAACTCTCTTGTTTCGTTCTCACTCTCGCATTATTATTATTGTATTCCTCCCCTCTAATTCTGGATCTTTCGCGATTGTATACATTAGATTAGATATAAAATAAACAAAAAATGCGCAAATATTGGTCCATTTTTTTGGAAGGGATTTTGAAATATTATTTTGCAGTTACGGAAAACGTTCGGTAACCTAACAGACTCGTTTTAATAACTGAACGTTCGGAAATTATCTTTGAAGCTCAAAGCTTGTGACTTTTTAAAGTTTGGTATTCTTTGGTATTAAATTGAAACAAAAATAAAAATTCTTTTAAGGATCGGCCAACTTTATCTGATCTTTTGGCTTTATTTGGACAGTGGTTCAAGGTTCATTGTTTCTGAAACTTTTATATTTATAATATTTTAATGAAATTCAAACTGGTCTGTTCAATAAAGTCTTGTACTAAAACCATCTCGTCATCCCAGGCTACCATCCATTGCTGGCTCCGGGTTCACTGCCTCAGGTTCGGATGACTTTTCCCGTAGGAGTGGACTCCAATATCCAGGACGTAGACGTAACAACTCTGCGCGCTTGACTTTCAGTTAAGCGGTCTTCAGCTGCGCAATGAGTCCCCTAAGCGTAAGCCCGATATGTTCTCCGTACTTCAAGTGAAGTGATGAAAATAATAATTTTTATCACTCATCTATCATTATTTCCTTACATAAAAAAGGGAAAAAGTCCGATGCTGCCTACTACAGAGGAATCTCTAAATCTCTCTAGGCACAACATCCACGAACAGGAATTCGGCTTGCTACTGGATTGCCTCGGCCCCAAGTTCATAATCGGAGCGGACTTTAATGCTAAACACCCCTGGTGGGGCTTCAGGATTAAGAACCCAAAGGGCTCGGCCCTATACAGGCAGATTCAGCCCCGAAACTTGAGCTGTCACGCGACCGGTGCACCGGCATACTGGCCCACGGATCCTCATAAAATCCCAGATGTCCTAGACTTCGCCATCTCCGGAGGACTGAATTCTGCCGGAATTCAGGCGAGAGAAGTGGAAAACCTCTTCTCGGACCACAGCACCTTCGCCGTGTCACTTTTCACCCCAGCACTGCTTAGGTCAGCCCGCAAAAAGCTGATCTACAAGACAACAGACGTTGACAAGTACCAATCATACCTGAACAACGTTACCGTTGACATCGACACCGTTGTAGAAGAGTTAACAGCCCATATTCAGGCGGCAGTTTCTGAAGCAGCACCAAGGCCCTCCAACCGCCCAAGAGCCACTGACAGGGACATCCACTTTTGGAACCCAGAAGTCGAAGAACTTAAACTTGAAAAGCGACGACTCGGAAGAGTGTGGATGCTCTCGAGGAATTCTTTTATACAAAACCGACTTCAATAGAGCGACCAAATGTCTGACAGAAACGCTGGTAAGATTAAGAAAGCAGGCCTTTGACGGGTTCGTCGAACAACTTGAGCCTGGCGACCCTCAACATAACTTATGGCGAGTCACCAAATCTATCAGACAGCCGCTGAAAAGGATCCCACCTGTACAAAGAACCGACGGCAGCTGGTACAGATCGGAGATGGACAGGGCCAACGCTTTCGCCGAACACCTCGAAGGTGACTTTACGCCTTTCGATCGCTGCTCACCGGAGGATGCTGCTGAAACTGCCCGACTGCTGGCCGAGCCTTCCAGGGACGCCGATC